TCCATGAATTTTTTGAAAATAAAAGGACAAGCGATAATTAGTCTCAGAATACTTATATTGAAATTATTTTAAAAACTTTTCTGGAAATTCGATAAAAAATTAGTTGGTAAGTAGAAGGAAGGTATAAAAAATAATTTTTCTTTCTATCTATTGACCGTTAAATTACATGGTTAATAAAGTTATCTGTTAATACATTTTCATTCATTATAAAAAATGCAGCACTGTTACCACATATTACATTTCTACTGGAGTTTACTAAAGATTGTTAAAAGATCCATATAGTGAAGATTTTAGGATTAATATTTGTTTATCTATTGACAAACAAAGATCATTTATTTATGACTAAAGAGCTGCCTCTTTCGTTCCAGGTTTCAGTCATGTCTGAGTTCAGTGTCAGCGAAAAATGTGCAGGATGTGGTTTGCCAAAGAAAAAATTTATTGGTTCAAAAAAACTTGTTGATACAGAAGAAGAAGCGACAAACCTTTCCGAATATTTCGCGACTACAGTAGTAGTGAATGATTTTCTTTGCTCAAAATGCAGTGGTATGGCACGTATTGCAAATTCAAAGATTAGAAAACTTGCACAAGTTCCTCAAACAGACAGTCAGTCATCTACAGCATCATCAGACCCGCCTTCTCAATCTTCTAAAAAGGATCCTGAATATAAACCAAAGAAATCATTGCCTGATAAAGAAAAAGAAGAAGTAGAGAAAATTGAGTTGCCTTACAGAAGAGTAATTTCAACGCACGATTGTTGTTGTCTTTGTGGAAAAAATCTGGGTTTGTTGTTGTACCTCTTGAAGCACGCCATCAAGTTTTTATTGAGACAAATCTTCATCCCTGAAGTAAACAGATGTTGCAAGAGTCATCTGATAAAAAAAAATTCTTTGCAGATGAGATAAAAAATTTGATTGTCGTTTCCCATTCATCCTTAATCATTGTCAAAAACATAACAAAATTATTTGAAGCTATGACTATAACTTCGGACAGTGAGCTGCATGAACGAATTGGTGATTTTGCTATCTCTGAAGAAAGAATTCAAACTTTCACTGGACTGCAATGGAAACAGCTGATTTACTTACGTGATAACTTCTTTCAGAAATTCGGATAAAAGTACGGTCACACAAGCTCTCGTAATTTTTTTATTCAAATTGCGTACTGGAAATTCTAATCAAATGAATGCTCTATTCTTAGTCTGGATCGACATCAGCAAGTATCTAATTTTTCGAAATCCATTTTAAGCTCTTTTGAAAGCGACGTATTCCCTTCTCGCTTCGGTCTGAAAGCTGTCAATAGAGATGAATTACGAGTAATTCGAAATCATTCAACGATTCTTCTGAAGGAACTTCACAATGTAAGTGAAGATAATCTTGCTTTGGTTCGTGATGGAACATACTTAAACACCAAAAAAGCTCGAACAATGAGTATTAAAGAAAGTCTTATTCAGGACATAAGAAATTACCTCTTTGTAAACCATGCATTATTTGCACAACTGATGGTTACGTAGATGACGTGTTAGGGCCATTTAATGCTAAGGATAACGATGCCAAGATATTGGAACAAGAATTAAACAAGATTGATAGTGACTTAAAAAAACTTATGTGCAGAGAGGATGACGTTTTTGTACTTGACCGAGGTTTTCGTGACGTGGTGCCGTTATTGGAACAACAGAAGTATCATGTGCTCATGCCATTTGTAAAAAACCTAGGACAAAAGCAGTTGACAGCTGAAGAAGCAAATAAGTCTCACCGAGTAACAATGATTAGGTGGGTCGTGAAAGCTGTACACGGCGCTGTAGCACAATACAAATTTTTTCACCAACAACTACACAATCGCTACCTACCAGAAGCTAGTCTCTACTGCAAGGTAGTTTGATTTATAATTAATGAATTTGGAAAACCGCTGATCTCTAAGGCTTCAGCAAATGAGGCTGTATTCATACAGATAGTTTCAAAAGATAGCATGAAAAACACATTAGCTACAGAAGCAGAGACTGGAAGATGGAGTCGTAGAACAAGCGAATTCAAAAAATTGAGTTTATGTGACGTTGATGACTTTCCCGAACTAACTCTAAAAGACCTGATAACATTGTTTACTGGAACTTACCAGCTAAAGCAAAATTTCTTATTTGGCTGAAATGATAGTCGCTAATGATGCGATAGATTTGCAGTATCATAAGCCAAAATAAGACTAGTTCTATGATATCGAGCTATTATATATTATTATCATGATATATTATTATCATGATATATTATTATCATGATATATTATTATTACAGACAAAACGGTGTGTAAGTTTTTTCCACTGAAATTCTACAACTACTTATCAATATTTTCCAAAGAATCGTAGATACTTTTGATAAATTATAATTCTTAGTAAATAATTTTTTATTTTAAATATCAGATACAAACGATATAGAGTTTGAAGAACAAGAAAACTGATCGACAGTATGCAGCGACCGTATAACGGTCGAAATCCTCAATAATGGAGGATCAGGGAAACTTCAGGTACGTTATTGAGGTACGTGATAAATCGATTCTAAGGCTTTTAAATCCTCCAAAAGATTTTTAGAGCCCCTAGAAGGTAGCTTTACTTGATCCAAATGATAAATATGAATACAAATTATTAAACTCTACCTTAGTGCACAGTGTGCCTAACGCGCGTAATAAGTTTGTTATAGACCACTATCATTATTGAAATATTGTAACACATATCATATATGTTTTCAATGTATTTTTTCTTGTAGAATACAGTGGTGATATTTATTTTATCGTAGGTTGAACCTACAAGGCTCTAGAGTTAAAAAACTGTGTTTTTTATTGGTTTTTATTTTTGTTGAGGTTGTTTCACCACTTTTAAAAATCTGGAAAAATTCACAGACATTTCTGAGCTGCAAATACACAATATATATTTTTTCCAGAAATGAGTATTTTTTTGTTTTTAAAATATCGAGTATTAAAAATTTTGAACGCCTGTAAAGATTTGAATTTCGCGCCAAACATTTTTTGTATCACACCACTTGGTAGGGTTTAAAAAACTATAATTTGAGAAAAAAAATTTTTTTCTAGCTCAAAAATTGACCGAGATATCGTTGGAAAACTGAAAATGACGTTTTACGGTGTAGAGGACCGAAAAATAAGATTTAAAATCTGAAAATCGGTTTCGAAGGATAATTTTCAAGGGGGAACATGACGGTATAATCAGTTTTTTTATGCCGCCGGGGCAGTTTTGACCATCTTATACGGCTAGACCCTTTGAACTTACAGATTGACCTATTCAGACTTCAAAAAGTTTGAGTTAAAGGTATTTTGGGGAGTGGAACTCGGAGGTTTACGTGTCATACGTCCAAACTCGTTGGCTACAATTTTAATAAACTTGATCTTACAGGTTAACCTCTCGTGGCTTCGAAACACTTCGGTTATAGTGTTTTGGAAAGTGTAGATCGAAGGTTAACGTATTGTACGTTCAAATTCGACGGCTAAAGGTTTTACAAAATTTGAACTTATAGGTTGACCTATTCAGACTTCAAAAAGATTGGGTTAAAGGTATTTTGGGGAGTGGAACTCGGAGGTATACGTGCCATACGTTCAAACTTGTAATCTACGGTATTTAATATATTTCATCTTGCAGGTTAACCTATTTAGACTTCAAAAAGCTTGGATTATGATATATTTTCGAATGGTGCTCGGAGGTTTACGTGTCCTACTTTCAAATTCGTGGGCTACAATTAAAAAAAATATGATCTTGGAGATTGACCTTTCGTGGTTTCAAAACACTTCGATTATAGTGTTTTGTTGAATGGAGCTCAGAGATTTACATGTCATACGTTCAAACACGTCGGATACAGCTTTGTATAAATTTGATCTGGTAGGTTAATCGATCGAGTTTTCCAAAAGCTTGGATTGAGTTGGGTGTTTGCTGTCATATTCAAACTCATCAGCTAGAGTTTTTAATAAATTTGAGTAGCGCATTAGTTAGAAGAAACGTTAAAAGAAAGGGAAAGAACGACACGCGAATAAAGTGAACTAGTATAGATATGGCCAGGAACAAGATAGGCAGATTAGGTATGACGAAGGACGTTCAGGCAATTTTTTCTCAAGTATTGACCTATTTTGTAACGATCACAAAACAACGTCGACAGAGCAACAAAACAGGAGGCCATATCATCTGTGAGAAGCTGAAAAAGAGTTGGAGTGCACTCGTTGAGAGCTTGATTGTCCAGTACGAGCAAATCATGAGATATACCCGTGCGGACAGTCGTTCTCTGAGCGCATCAGTAAAAGCTGAGAATAAAAGCAGCGCCCAAGAAAATCACTTTGTCCGATAACGTCCATGACATTATTGGCTGCAGTGACAATGTCAGGCATCAAAACAAGCTACGTGAATTACTTATAACTTTGTTTTCCGCGTGATATTCAAGTTTGTTATGCGTGAGACGTATCTTGTTAATAGCTCACGCTTAGTTTTGTTTCCATTATCTCTTTTTCTCTCTTTCTTTCTCTCTCTTTTTGTCTCGATTAACAACTGCAACCTCTTGTTTGTTTTTGTTCATGACTTTCTATGTTTCTAAGTTTTTCGGTCTTAATTATCGCGGTATATTCCTGGAAAAGCAATAAATATATCTTTTCTTTTTTCATATGTCTCATGTCACACTTAATATTTGCCTATATTATTCCACTAATCCTTAATTGCAATAAGAACTTATAACCAGAATAAGCTTATTTCTCGTTTTGTTTCATGCTTTCGCGCTTCATGCTTTAGCCATACGAAACGTATTCACAATAGCACCGAGCATTCCAAAAGTAGACGGAAGCAGCGATTAGTTTTGCAGCGAGAGACAAAAGAGATTTAATGATGTTATTTAATTTATTTTGTATAACGACTCATTATTATAAAATTATATTTTCTTTTTAGTGCTATAAATTATTTATACTAAATACGTATTTAATGGAAAATATTGAAATGCTGTTTGAGATGGCAATAATAAAAATGTTCTTACCGGTTTTGTCCATCCACATCTACATTTAATGTCCTCGATAGCTTCGAAAGAACACCTTACAGTTCCACCACTAGAATTAACAGCAGAAGTAAGTGTTACAATCATCTCTTTACCATCCGATTCTTTGATAAAATCACCATTACCGCAAAATCTTCGAGGTCCAGAGCTAGGGTTCGTGAATACGTTGAAAGAGTCCAAAACGCAATTCTGACTCTGAAGTATATATTTATGATTTTTTTCAAAGAATTTGAGAAATAATTTTTCATTAATATTGCGTTTATGCGTATCAATAAGCATATATTTTTGCACATACACATGTAAATAAAAGTACGTGTATCCAATATAAAACTTCGCTAAATAATTTGTAATAATTTTATATCTTTAAAAATTGCTTGAGCAACTAGTTTTGTTCTTCTTTATAGATGATATAACAAGAATTTTGAAAATAAATATAACTTTTTACATAACAACTATTTACGTCTGAACGTAAATTAACCGAAAAATTTTTATTTCTCAACTCAACTAAACTAAGTTTCATACACGGTTGTAAATGTCGAAAATCGATTAAATAATTGACATCGAATTAAGAGGATTTTTAGATGAAAGTGTAAAATAAAATTTAAAAAATTTGGCTTTATAATTTTTAATATTATTCGTAAAATATACTTTCACCAAGTATAAAGAACATTGTTTATTAAGGATGCATCTGTTAAATGTGAAAATGACAACACATGCTTCTAACTTTTTTAGTTATTAATAATTGGATATATAAGATTATATTTCAAATTTCAAGTGTTTTCACAGCTTCATTTAAAAGTTATTGTAATAAGAAATTGACAAACGTTTTTATGAGAGAGCGAGGAAGATTCCTCTCTGCTTTTAATTCAAGTACTTATAAAAAAAATGATCATAATTTCCATCACAATTTTATGAAAATTTGTGATGTATGCAAAGAAAGAAATGGATGTTAATTTAAAATGCAGTAGCTTATAATCAAAACTAAAAGATATATAGGAATGATAAAAGATGAACTCCACGATTAACTCGCGTAAGAATAGTTAAACGTGGCAACGTCGCATTTTTCATATACATAACATGGTTCATGTATCTATAAAAATATAAAAGTGTAGTGAATAATTAGAATTTATTAATAAATAAAATATTAAATTTTGTACCCGTCTGAGTTGCTCGCGACCGTCCGCACAAATTATTTGTTCGGGGATTCGGGAAGCAAAAGACGTTCCCACGACTGAATAACGCGTCGAGCATAAACACGTTAAACGCACAGATTCGAAATCGGGATGAGGAGTGATACAGCGGCGAATGAACACAACAGCGGATTAACACACTAGTCTTTTACTTGTCAACAATCGATTACAATACGGCGACCTCGTACTTATACACTACGAACGACACAATAACAAACGCGAACGCGAAGGTGACTCGGTGGCTGGTCAGCCTGCCGATCCTCTTGTTAGAGCTAAATATTACAATAGATGCCCGTCAAACACTTTCTAACGATAAACTATCAACGGGTAGCCAGCAGGTCTGCCGTGCTACCATCCATAAGCTGGCGCCCAAACATGCAAGAGAGAGACAGAGAAACAAGAGAAAAACACGGCACCGACCTCGACCTTCAGTCTCTCTGACGGCTAGAGCGCTCCTCAGTGTGACGTCACTGGTGTGTCCTCCGCTGACCGTCTCGCTGATGCTTGTTGTCGTCGCTATTTGTCTTCTCGCTCGTCCTCTTGCTTGCTCCACAATATTGCTGCCTTAATCCGCTGTTTTACCCGAGAATTGCTGTGGTTGTTTCTGCCGCCTCTCCGTTACTCGGTGCTTCAGCACGTCCAATTCCTCGCGTGCGCATCCGCGCACCTCGCCGGTTACCCAACGCACCGGTATCGGGTATCCTTCGGGACACGGCTGGGCGCGACCCAGCCTCACGCTCTATTACACGTCCGAGCACCGGGCGTGTCTCCGAAAACGAACAAAACGTCGGCGAGGTCGCGGGGCCAACTTGGAAAACCGTGACCTTTCGATTTTATCCGCGCGTGCGACTTCCTCTGCTCATAGCTTAGCAGAGACTCTCCGAATTTTCCGCGGCGATCCGCAATTCAAGCGCTCTCTCTCATCTCTCTCTCTCTCTCTTCTTCTGCGCTATCTGCATCGCTCCAGTCGTCAGCTCAGCCCGTATTCAGCACCTCGTAAACAAAAGATCCAAGCATGAGTGTATGTACCAAACGCACACACTCTCAGCTTGGCGCGGCGCACGGACATTTGCGAGAGCCAAACGGACGAAATCGACATAGCCGAAATTCTCCGTTAGAATTTGTATTATAATAAAATATAAAATATTAAAATAAAAATAATAAGTTATATAATATTTTCATATTAAACGCGATTGCACGTAATACTTTAAAATATGAAAAATGAAAATAAAATAACATTTATATTTATATTTGTTTTTTTAATATTGCTGAAAGTTTTCAGTAGAAATTAATTAATCAAGAATGAAAATAAAAAGACAAAGACTGTGTATAGGTTGAAATATAAAAATATTTATTAGAAACTAGGTATAAAATAAAGATTTATTTTATGAAATAATGAGTTTCAATTACAATTTGCAGTAATTTATTTGGACTATTTAAAATATATTCAAATAATTTTAATAATACATTATTATGATTTATAATTACTCATTTTTAAAATTAATAAACAGTTGAAATAAAACCTTGTAATAAATAAGTACTGTGACGGTAAAAGTCTTATTAGCACTAACGGCCCAACCATGCGGCTGCCCGCAAGGGCAGCACCTACCGGTTGGGGAAAATGTGCCGAGGGAATTCGGCACGCGACGGAATGGAACGCGCGCGTATGAAAATGAACCAGTCGAGGATTTGCTTTCGATACCTCCAGCCGCAATTAACAAGAAAGAGTCTTTCGCGAGTTTTCCGGAGTGCAGAGACGAAAAGAGAGAAGCTGTGCCATAGCCTGACGGAGTGGAGTGCGTGCTAGTGTGCGAGTCAGCAGTTTCGCCATCAAGGGCGAAACTGAAAACGCGAGATACCTCGCAGCAAAGACTGACTTTTCCGCAACGAGGGTGCGAGCGTTTCCGCTTTCGTGCTACCGTACAACTGATAACAAGGTATGCTAGCCAGCTTAATTTCGCGAACGCGATAGAGTTGCTAATAATTAATCTCTTGTGCTCCGTAAAAAGCGTGCATGTAATAACTCGGCGAACAATAAGCGGCAAGCGATCCGACACTGCATGTTGTTGTCGTGCGCGCGGCATGTAAACATAAACACGCGGGCCGAATACAGTGTAGTATTAAGAGGCATTAAACAATTCCGTATGTGATGTTAACAGTATTTTCGATGTATTTATTTCACGTTAGTAGATAGTTGGTTGACTGACATCCGTTCCCTCCTGCTCTCCGGTTTTCGTGTTTGAACGTGTAGGTAATCACGCGCGCTTTTCTATGCGATCGCGCGCTTAAATTAAATAAACGGTATTAACCCCGTTACAGTACATATAACAAATAAATTTATAACAGTTGGTTAAAAGAATAAAGTTCATTTCTTGCTATGAGGTTAAGCACTGCCTTAATTCGCTCTTGGTATGCTCAGTGCTACTGCATTCACGTTTTTCGCATCTAAAAAGGAGTGCGAAAGTATAAAGCATAAATATGAATTAGATCAGTTAAGGTTTTCAACTACGAGCATGTATCAATAGAATATGCTAAAAGGTGAACTTAAAGCGTGATACGGAATAATAAAAAAAAGTGCGATTATTATTTTGCCATTCGGCTTAAAAGTAATTTCTGGTGAAAATTAACTTACATTATACAATACCCGTCAATTGCTTTCGTCCACCTAAACAGAAATTTCTCAAAACTTTAAAGTTTAATATCTCAGTGAAACATTAATGTACAGAGACTAGCCGGGACGCGTTTGAAAGGTATTTCCAAGACCTTTTATATGGTATGTATAACAAATATGATTAGTTCATTCTCTAATTGTTTCTAACGATAATTCATCGTTGAAAATTCGATTTTTTTACCTACCTTCCACTCCTACCTGTACCGGAAGGAAAAGCTGTAAAAAAATTTGAAGTAGACCATTTTTTAGCCCTTTCTAAGGGCTATACAGAGCTAACCACCGCTCCGTTAAACACGTATAGTTATACGTGTATTCGCCTTTACGTTTAATACTTTCGTTTTAGTGTCTTTTTTCCAACCAAGTTGAACTTACCTTAAGTCACTTGACTTGCGATACTCGATCTATCTTAGGTGTGAGTGACCTAATGCTTAATCCGACTAATCCCCTAGACGAAATCGGATTAAACTTAATCCTTTATAGATCTGTTAAGCTATTAGAAAACGAAATGATGTAAACGGCGAACAAAATTAATAATGTTTTATTCATAAAAAACTATAGTTTTTTACGGGCCGAAAGACTAACACACGCAAATAGGACTTACAATTATTGATAATAATTCGGTGAGAGAGAGAGAGAGAGAGAGAATTCAAACTTTTGCCGCGAAAACTAACGCTCGGCGGGAATACAAAAAAAAACAACGCTCGCGATAGACAAAATACTTTCGAAATTATTTTATCGCGCAATAATAGGGAGTTGCACCTACCCCCCGGTGCAATTACGGTGATCAGCCGTAATTGTTGAAGAAAATCAACGGTCGATGCTCCCCAAGTATCAGCTTCGCTGCCTCCCTCGTAATATCTCCTATTACTCTGTTACTGCTTTGATTGCTGCTGTTGTGATGCTGTTTGCTGTGATGCTGCTCGCTTTCACTCGCACAAGTCCAAAAAATGCAAGAAACAACTTTTATCAAAAAGGCAAAACACTATGTAAAAAGTATTGGCGGTACTATCACAAAAGCAGCTAAGGCTTAACTGAATATTTAAACCCTCGCGCACGCTCTCTCTCTCTCCCTTAGTCGTTCGAACTAACATCGCGAGTGTACCGAATCGCGAACGGATCGATTAATCGAATCGACTACCGTTGCAATACATTAAAAAAAATGCAAAGTGGAAAAAAATTTTTTTTCAAAGAAAAATTTGAGAATAATCTATCACATTTTACACTAAATAACAAACATTGTCTTTCTAATAAATATTTTTGTATCTCTTATATTTATCGAGATATTTTGAATTGACAAAAATGGTCATTTTTTGGTAAGAACTCGATTGTACGCA